TCTCATGAAGGTCCAGCCCTTCGAGTTAACCCTTAACTCATAGAGCTATAACATGGCCAGCTCGTCGGGACAAACCCTAATTGACTCGTCGAGTCGACTCATCGACCCGGCTAGTCCATTTAGACCCATGTCGCAGACAAACTATTTCAAGGAAGACAACCCTCTCACACTCTAGATCTATGCGCTCAAGGCTCGCTTATCACGTAAATCCACAAGCTTTACATTCATGCATGGCACTTAGGTCTTGAAATGCAAAAAACATGCTCTATTAAGGGTTTTCCACTCAAGGCTCTATTATGGCTGAATAAAGGAGGGACCTTTGGACTTTAAGGACCTCACAAAGGTCCAGATCTGATGTCCAAATCTCTATATGTGCCTAAAAATTCAAAATCCCAATATTAGATAGTAAAGAGGCCCTAAAGTCCAATAATATGAGATCTACCCAAACTAATGAGAAAGGTATGAATTTTATACCTTTTACAGAAGCTATTGGATGAATAGCAACAGATCTATCAGTCTCCTATCGTTCCTTGCTTGAAATCCTTCTCTTATCTTACAAAGATGCACCAAGATACTCAATATTAGGTCACACTCTCTCTATTAGCTCAAAGGCCGATTAGGGTTTCTCTCAGTGAAGGTAAGTAGTCGAGGAGCCATAAATGAGGCTATGAGTTCCCTTAAATAGGCCCCAAACCTGGGGATTTAGGGTTTCACTTCATAGTGTCTACTCGGCGAGTTGACTCTCTGACTCCTCGAATAGATTATTAATCCAACGTGGCACACGCGACTCTACTCGACGAGTTGTAGCACTAACTCATCGATTTGCTCAATAGTCCTCAATATAAATAAATAAACAATATACTTGGAAGTCAAGATGTTACATTTGGCCTCCTTAATTGCCTCCTCTACCCAGAAACCCTTAAAATCGTGCATCTTACCCCAATTTGAGTGTGTGAGCTAAAAAGTTGCTTCTTTTGGTCTTATTTTGAAAGAGCTTGAAGTTGGTGGTGCCTAGCTTGTATGGAAAGCTATAGATCTAGAATCTCCTTGAGTTTAGCTAATCTTTTGAGATAAAAAGTCAAAAAATTGCTCATCTATTTTCTTAGATCTCTTCCTTGGAACTTTATTGTCATATTTGACTTATTTTTGGATTGCTCATGGAGTTGAGCATTTCATGGAGATATCACTTTGGATTTGGACGTTTGATGGCCTATTTTGGCTTAAAGCTGCAAACTTTATTGAGTTCTAGGCCTCTTTCATGCTTAAGATCCCTTATTAAGCTTTCCTTGAGAGTTAGAGCCTCTTAGGGGAATGCATGAACGTAAAGTTGGTAACTTTATGTGACTTGCCAGCTATTGGGTGTGAGATCTACATCTTGGAACGTTGCACTTTATGAAAAAGGACTGAATGTGTAAGAGGGTAAAACTCGGTGAGTTTTCCAGCCAACTCGACAAGTTGGCTGGGGTTTTCCCCACCTCTCAGAATACTAAAGGAACCCGACAAGTTGATAGGTGCACTCAACGAGTTGGGTCACGATGGACCGTTGTCCTTGACCGTTGACTTTGACTTTGACCATGGTTGACCAAGTTGGAATTTTGAGGGCATTTTGGGTATTTTGAGGTCCTGATGGGTTGGTCATGATGGTTGTAGGCGTTGAGTCGGGAGATGTGATTTGGAGTTCGAGATTATCAGTTCAGCTGCTTGTGTGGTGAGTATTCCTCACTATGCTTTTGGGTTGATGGGACCAAGGCCGACCCATTGGTCTGATAACCATATATTGATGATATGTTGAATATGACATAGTTATGCATGCTAGTCTTGTTATGCTAGTCTGGTAGATCTGTTGGACTACCTGTGAATATCATTTTATCTGTTTATGATATTATATGTTATATTTCGACATATTTTGTGGGTTAGATTGAGGTTGTATTGCTTTGTATTGTAGCCAACAAACCTTGGAGTATGCTAGTTATGAGCTAAGGGCCAGAGAGGGCATGACAAACTCATACTGAGGATTCATGAGCATTCCAAATACGAGCTAAGAGCTGGGGAGGGCATACCAGACTTGTACCGAGGGCTTAGTGGTATTCAGTCTGTTGATTGACCTAGCTGGGAAGCAAGCGAGACATAAGCTGTGGGCATGTGACGCAAGCCAGACTTATGTTGAGGGCTCATGGGTATCCAATATGTAAAGTTGTGGACCCATTGCATGTCGTTATTATATTGTGTTATTTGTTATGTATTGGTATTTTGGGGGAAACTCACTAAGCGTTGGGCTTATAATTGTGGATTATGTTTCATGTACTTCATAGGATTGCGGGAAGGTGAAGGCGTGATCGTGCACCTCCTCATATTTTGTTATTATGGGTGTTGCAAGTTGGTATCAAAGCCTCGGTTTGAGTGAATTGGAGGAGCACTCGTGTGAATCCAGTCTCAAACTGAGGAAAAAGATTTTTTTAATGATTTTCAAATGGTTCTTAAAATATACAAGGAGGATTCGATGTGTACAATCAGCCGAAGCCAGTAAGTAGATAGGCATGCTATAAGTTTAAAGTATTTAAAAGTTTCAAAGACTACTACCCATGAATACTTTTATGCATAAGACTTTACACACACATATACATGATCATTAAATTGAAAAACATTTCTCTATAAAAGCGAGTAATTTATACTTTAATAAATACGTTGACCATACTCGGTTTATATAAATGCTATACTACGAAATTCATTATGTCTAGTACTTAATTACAATTAAGTTAGGGCTAAGAGTTATTCATAAACTTTTCGTTAATGACTTTTAGTGACATGATACTTTATTCATTAGCTAAGTCTAACCACTTAGCCTGCCCCACACTACTATAATCGTTAATTTTTAGAGCGAGGTGCATATGTATAGATCTATGTGGGGTCGACAACCCCACCTACAGTTGCTAGCTACAACCTTCGATTGATAAATTATGGCAGGTGATATGTATCTATGATCGTTACTACAACTTCCAATGAAGCTTTGTATGGAGGGGTACTTTTTGTCAATAGCTCGGTTATAAAACTCACTGAAAACATTAACACGAATATCTCTCTCTTTCTCAATTCAACCAAAGGTATGGTTGCTTTCAAAACTATTTTTAAGTATGGGGATTACTTATACAATGGGTACATTTTGACTTTCAAGGAATTATTACAAGCACATTTTAAAAGCATGTATTTACTTATACAAAGATACATTTTGTCTTTCAAAGACTCATGGAAAACACTGTTTCAACTATCATTATTCATACAAATAAAATACTTTTGAACTTTACAAAAGTATTATTACTGCGGCTAGCAGAAAACCTGTGACTCTCACCAACCTCGTGTTGACTTTCAAAATACATGTGTTCTTAGGAAATCAGTGAAATTTCGGGCACACTTAGACGTTGGAATACGTGGCTTGTAAGTACTTTAATTTTCTACTTTTTTATTGTTATGATTAACTTTTAAGGCCAAATCATGCTCGTATTACTATGATTATTATTATTATCTGTAAGAACCTTGTATTCAAATTTAATGATTAAATACAAATGTAGTTTTGCTTATTGTTGTACTTGTGTTGTATATTCAATTTATCTGTGATCATGAACTTAGTCACAAAGCCCGACCTGTTCCGCCGCCTCGGCCGGGGGTGTGACAGTATACAATCAAAAGTATCTACTATACTCACAACTTAGAGTCGTGATACAACCCATATATAAGTGATCAAAGATTCCTTTGTTCTTCAAGATATCTATATGAATGTGATACATGAATATATCACTACAAGAAAAAGACCCTTTTACGACGCGCAAACCACAACACTCGTTGATTTATGTTACGCAAAAGAGAGTGACTTTAAAAAAGTGTTATCTCTTCAAAAAATTTAACAATAGAGGACACGCATTATTGCGTGCCCTTAAATTAGTGTCTAACAAAAAAAAAACACGGAGGGCACCTATAATAAAATGCTCGTCGTCTAAGGATGTCGCTTTATAATTTTTAATGGAACGCGCGTTCCATCCTTTAACAGTAGGGGGAAATGAAATTCTGAAAAAATTAAAAATCCTGCCTTCCTTTTTTTTTCTCCTTTCCCTCTTGCCCAAATTATGGACGCTCCTTCCTTCCCCCTCCCGACATTGACTGCTGCCTACTTGTTCCCTCACTTTTACCTACTGGAACCACCATATCTCCCACTAGATGTTGAAATTTTTAGAAAAATCCCTAATTATACTCTCAAGTCTAAATACAGAAAAAATAGAAGATGGTGAAGAAGTAGCAGTAGAGGAAGTGGAGGATGAACAGTCGAAAATGGAAGGAATGGCATCAATAGCGTTGTTACTAGATGGGTCAATCTCGGGTCATTTTGTTTAGCTTCCCGAGTCCGTTTATTACCAGATGGGTCAATCTCGTCTTTTCGTCTCGACTTCATATCTCTCTGTAAAGCAACCGACGACCCCCACACCACCATCTGCAAACCCTAAGCCATCGTCACTACCATTGAAACCTAAAAACTCATTCACACTCCACTAGATTGGGCTCCAGCGGTGACTCCTACTCTACCTCCCGTCTACCATAATTAGGAAATCCTAGAAATTAAAAAACCCTAATTTTGTCGATTTAGGGTTCGGACTTCGTTCCATCTCTCAGTCTCCGCCATTCTTGCGAACTGGTGTTGCAACACTGTTGTCACCATCTATCCCATCACCCACCACAATCGAAGTTGATGAAACCCTACCTCCTCCTGCTTCCAACGCCTTAATATGGATTGTACATGTCGATGTTGCTTGCGTTTATTATCCTATTTCTCTCAAAATCAAATCGACCCAAAACCCTAGTTCTTGTTGTTCAAATTAATTTCAATGTTGAACCTTCGAATTCATAGTTTGAAGAAAAGATATTAGAAACTATGTATCAGAATCCAGTAGTGGTGGTAATTGGTGAGAACGGTTAATGGAAAAGAACTCAACTCCCGTAGATTTTACACAGAAATGGCTAGACGAAGACCAGAACCATCACAGTCACCCATCCCCATTGTGTCACTGTCATCTTTACCTCTCATGTGGTTGTCAATTACGTTTAAATGGTTACTTCACAACATTCTTTTTTTTTTATTTACTAGTTCAGAAGGTTTTCTTAAAGTGTTGACAGCATTGGCAAATACTCTTCCCCTTATCCATCACAAAGGTATTTCTTCTTCGTTTTTTTTTTTTCTGATTTTAGCAGTAGGAAAAACATGGAGGAAGTAGCTGTGGTTGTTGAGTTGATTACAAGGCTTCATGAAGGTAATATCTTCTACGGGAAAACATGAGTTTTCTTTGAATGTTAAATCTGTTATTGGGTTCCAAGGGTGTGAAGAGGATGTGAAAATCATTTCAACTGTAATTGGAATTGAGAGTGGATATATTGGTTTTCTAGCTAGACCTCAAAGAGAAAATGTGGCTCTAACAAGAGCAAGGTTATATATAATTAACTTTACAAAGAAAAAAATTCAAATATTTATGCCTGAAGAAATGATTTAATCTGTTTATTCTCTGCTTCATCAGATTAATGACCATATTTTTATTTTTATTGTTTTTGTAGGCAGAGGAGCTAGTTGAGGTTAAACAAATGATAAAAACCCCTGATTTTTTCAACAAGCTTGTTGATAGTATGGCCCCTACTGTTTTTGGTCATCAAGACATCAAGCGAGCAATTCTGCTTATGCTTTTGGGTGGAGTTCATAAGTTCACCCATGAAGGGATCAATATCCGGGGGGGGGGGGGGGGCATCAATGTTTGTATTGTTGGAGATCCAAATTGTGCTAAATCTTAGTTTCTCAAGTAAGCATATCTATTTAAATCTTGTTTTATATATAATATGTGCAGAGTTTGACAATTTTTTTCTTTTTCTTTTGTGGGTACACAACAACCTTAGTTTCAAGATCTTTTTACACATCTGGGAAATCTTCCTATGTTGTTGGATTGGCAACCACTGTTGCAAAAGAACCAGAAACCGGAGAGTTTTGTACCGAGATACTAGTTCTGTAAACTAAATACTAAAACTGATGATATATACATTATACAAAGGACTTTAATGTTTCCTTCCAATAAAGCACATGATATATACATAAATCTTAAGACGGTTGTTTATGACGATTTTTTGCATAATTTTTAGTTTTACCCTTTCTTAATTATATTTTTTGCATTTGCACGAGACATGACTTTCTCAGTAAAATAGACGGAAACTAATTAACATCACATTTGCATGCCGATTTGATGTTTACATGGATTATCAACTTTTTGAGCATCAGGTGAACACTATAACTCATGTTTTCAGTTCCACTCATGAGGGTATAACTGTCTTTTTGCATCACTGCAGATTCATTAGTTTTCCACATTCAATTCATTTACGATGGTTATCTTCTTGACTGGATTGGTGTCGATGATTTTAATAAGCCCCCAAACATGCTAGTTTACAAAAGAAGGAAACACAGGGGTAAACTGGTCACAAACCCAGAGGACATAGTAACATCTTGATAAATTTATCAAGTAAGTCTTCCTTAGGGTAGCTTAAAGCTAAAAAAAATTCCTTAAATATGTTAGTTTATAATATAATTTTAAAATTTTAATTTCATGGGTGTGCTTTTAGGGCTTAAGGCTTTAAGAGTACTCAATTTGGGATTCAATGATATTGCAGATGCTGTTTTGGTACATCTGAACGGTGCTTCTTGTCCTTTGATTATTTTTTATTTATGTTTTATACTAAACATGTATAAAGTCGAAGTTTTTGATGTCTATTAAATTAGAAGATTATATGTTTTTGTGCCGCTTGATGCAGGTTTAAATAAACTGGAGAGCTTGAATCGGATTCATGTAGAATTCGGGATAATAGACTAATTAACTTGGCAGGTGATTCTTTTGTTACTTATCTTTTTATTATTATTTAAGTATTTTTTTAAAGCTTTTTACCATTGCAAAAATATCCTTTTTCCACCGACCACTTATTGTAGAATAAGGTTTTTAGATTTTACTCTTATGAAATAATATTTTATCCCCCCTCCCCTCGAATCATATTCTAATCTTAAATGTATATTATTTCCTGACTACTTATCTATTTGATTTAACAAAATAAAAATGAATATTTTTCTAGAAAACAATTACCATTGAAATGATTTTTGTAAGACCCAATATCAAGTATTCAAAAACATAGTTATCGGATAATATTTTTATAACTACATATACGATAATTTTATTATCTTTGTATACGTAAAATATAAAAAAAAAAGTCCTGACATAGTTATTTTATAGAAATATGGCGTGTTGTTCAAAAATGACAAATTAGATAATCGTTAAAAAAGAAGCTTTTGTATTGGAGAAGACACTTGAAAATATGTTTTTGATAATAAACGTAGCGGAATAGATACTCTTATTCATATTAAAGATTTTTTTTTGCTAATTATCTGGCATGTAATTTTTTTTTGCTAATTATCTGGCATGTAATTTTTTAGGATCTAACAGTGCACTTTTACACAAGGTGTAAATAAATTTTATTTTTTTCTTTGTTTTCTAACTTAATCTTATTAAATCGATATTATTTATATGATAACATTTCTTTCATGTTTCTTGTAGCCATATGTTGATGGCCTCCAGGTATTTTTTTTTAATTTTTTTTCATTTATCTTTAAAAATGTGGTTGTAAATATGTAAAATAACTTACTAGTTGAGCAATTTTTCATCAGGTTGTTATTAATGCCATTGGAGATAAGGCCAATGACTTGATCTTGGATATGTATAAATCAGTTGTGTCAACATTTGAGTCATGGAAGTGCAACCAAGTTTGGTGAACAAGGGATTGTTGCTTAAGTGATATTATATCATAGCTTGTTCAAGTCTACTACCTGTGAAAGATCCTTATATGCATGCTGGAACAACAGTGGATACATGCTCTTGGTTCACTTCAACAACGACCTGACTGGTTGACAACCAGCTTTCTATAAGTATATATGCTTTATTTGTTACTAAATTGTAGTTTATCATTTCATTTGTTAGTGTATGTTTAGACAAGTATGTTGCTACTTCTTTTGTTATCTTAAGGACTTCATAGGAACATGACCTAATATATGGGTATTTTGTTATTATTTAATACAAAAAGAACAACTTAATATAAAAAAGCAAGAAAAATGAGATTGTCCCCATTAACTCCCAACTTTTAACAAATTTGTGTTGCATAACTTATTGGGTCGTATTACATAGATTATTAAATACAAACACTTGATATATTGTCTGATAATTGTGTTCATGATGACAGAGATGGGATACATTTTACAGCAGCTGCGAGTGGAACAGTGGCAATTGAGATCTAAAACTTGATGAGAAACAGAAGTAGGATGGTCAGTAGAAGGAGTTTGAGGGGAAGAAGCTTGTTTCTGCAACCAAAGAAGGTCTAAAATTTGTATATGTTGTATATCTTGAGGTGAGTAGTCTCTTAATTTATTATCTTTTTTCATTGTCCTTTTCTTTTTTATTAAAATGTATATCTTTTTTTAGGTTCTGTATGTGTACAGTGACTTAATGTTGCATATCTGGATAAAGTGTTGCATATATAAAGTACTTTTTATTCCTGGACTGAATAAACCTTCTAAATGAAACTAAATGATCATATATATTACCCTTACATTCCAACAAACAATTTTCAGTATTCATCCATTTTATTTCTCATTTATTACTAAGTTAAGGTATATGGTTTTAGTTGAAAGGTGAAGATGAACAAAGGTTTGTCTCTTTTTATTTCTCATTTATTACTAAGTTTAGAAAATAAATGGAGACTAAATAAATGTCATAATTTTTGTTTATAGCTCATTCTCTTCAATTTGCTTCTTGCTTCCAATCTATGTCAGATAACAATGGATATTGATGGATGTCGGTTAATAGCCTCTTCTGGAGCGTATAAAGCAGTAAGTTATTAATATTTTTTTAAATAAATAAATGTTCCTCAATTTGCAAAATGAAAGGGAATAAAAGTAAATAAATGTCGATATTTTTAATTTGAAGGTGGGGTGGTGGTGGTAGGGGGGGGGTGTCTAATTAGGTTGGTTGAAACCTGATGAGGTTCCCATGGTAAGTGTAATTTGGTGTTTTGCAAGTTTGTGTCACAAAAACAACTAATTTCTCATGTTTGTTATGATATTATTCTGCTTGTGCAGCTTGTAGAATCTGTGCTAAGTAAGGTCATGGAAGAGCTTGAGAATCGCATCACTAGTCAAGTTGAACTGGTAAAGCTTCTTAGCTATGTTGTTTCCTAATTTCCTTGCTTGGTGTTTCAAGTATATATAATAATAAGCTACATTTCCTTCTATATAACTTTTTAAACAATTTTTTATAAGGCACAAATATACAATCTTATAACTTTCTACTTTATATAATGTCTAATCATTTGTTTTTTTTTTTTCAGTCAACTGTTAACTTATAAGTAATTGGAGGTAAGGAAAAATTATAACCACGGATCATTTGCAAATTATCAAATTTTGATTTATTAATACACAGGTAAATGAGGTGAAAGGAGAGGATGTTTGTTTGATAAAGAATTCTGTTACTCTATCTGGTTCGTTATTCACCTTGCATGTATCCCAAATATGTATTGAGCTGCCAACTCTCACTGATAAAGATAAGGAGGTGAAGTTTGTATTTTGTGATTCCATTATATGTTTCTTATCATATACTCATTTAAGTTGTAAGTTTTATGCAAAATTGTAGGTTATTAGCACATGGGGAGTGCGTAACAAGATTTTTGCAAAGATAGAAAATTTTGAGGTCGGATGCTCACATTTTTCAAGTTGTATGTAATCAAATTGTCTCTTATGTCACATTGGAGAGATTACTTTAATGTCACATTGAAATTTCATCGAATCGCATAGCAATAAATAGAAGAAATAGCAATGTACTTTCATCTATTATTTGTATGACATTAAATATTATGCAATGGATTTTATTTTTTTGTATATGGTATTTTAATTTTTATTATGACACATTAAATACAAATTTAATTTGAAAACTAGTAAATCTATAAATAATATATTTTTTAAACATTTAAAATTATGATACGCAAAAATGTGTGTCGTCTTCATTTATGACATGGCCTTTCTTGACAGGGGCTTTCTTGATACGCATTGCGTGTCATTAACATGCGCGTCGTAAGGTTACGACACACAAATGCGTGACGTCTTCCTTTATGATAGGGCCTTCCTTGATACGCATTGCGTGTCGTAAACGCGTGTCGTAATTGCACGTCGTAAATGAGCGTCGTAAATGCGCGTCGTCTCTCTTTATGACAGGGCCTTCCTTGACGCGCATTTGCGCGTCGTCTGAGCCTTTTACGACGCACAATGAGCGTCGTAAAAGGCTGTTTTTCTAGTAGTGAATCTCAAACAATCTAGATTATGTTTACTGAAACTGACTTGTGTCAATCAAAAGCAAACTGCATAATTGATCTATCAATTTAGTATGAGCACGAACATGAATTTTAATGTGATTACCAAATCATCGAGGGCCCAAAAGATATGGAATCCAAATATTGAAAGACAGAGTGAACAAATAGACTTTGCCTATATAGATTCCACCTATTCCTCATGTCATATCTAGTCAAACCCTGTATGATTGCAGTTTACGAACAATGTTAGGAAGAAACCAAGACACAACATATTGTAGGAGAACAACTCATACATCTCCATTTAAAGAATATATGATATTACCATCTTAGAATTACTTGAGATAGAATCTATGAAGTAATCTCTAAGCGCGGGTTACTCCAAATCTCTAGAATATCCATTTAAAGTACTCATGAGTATTGGTTGTAAGCTTTTCTTTGTGTATCTCCATGAGCAATCTACTAATGCTCGATGACAATCATAAATCACTACTATTTCCAGAAGTAGGGCTGATTGTGGAAGTTTGAATAAATTAATATGTTTAAAGTGGTTCTAAACATGCGAAGGTTGAACACAATTATAATGTAAATAAGATGATTGATCTTCATCAAATATTAAACTCTCTAGTTAATAATCATGATATCAAATAGAACTTATATTGCTTCAGTTCCTAAATTAAAACAAACTAAACTAAAAGTGTCTAAGTTAATACACATGCAAGTCTAATGATCTTAGATATGTATGTGACTATTAACTTTCGTTAGTTATTTTAGTTTAAATGAATGAATTATCAAGATTCTCTTCAGTTGACGATGATGTCCTCACAATTGTGAAGATACTCAGAAAATATTTACAATGTGATCTTATGTGACTTGAGATCTTTACTCGAGGTAAATTGAGTATTTACAATCTGATCTTATGTGACTTGGGATCTTCACTTGAGGTAAAATATCCTTACAATCACCAGAAACTTCAAGAGAACCATCAATGATTAAATATAATATCGGGGTCACTAATGAATTTCTTTTAGATACATAGTTTTTCTTTGAAATATAACTAAATGCAATATACTTTAATCTTATTATCAAATCCACTTAGGTGTATTGCTTGGTACACTTCCATGCTAATACTTTATTATTTATTAAGAGCACGAACTCTCATTGCTAAACGGAAATGTCTCAATTAGTAACGAGCTCACCATCAATGTAACTCTTTCATTGATTCCTTACATACTAACAAGATTATGTCTTTCATCCCTTTAGGATTCCAAAGAATATTATTGGTTCTTGATTCGTTGATTATAGCTAAAATGATCTTATACAAATTTTCAAGCACAAGGCATACGAGTCATTACATCCAAAACATGTTATGACTTTTACTAGCACGAACTCATTAAGAATTCTACATCTCAAGTTTCCTTAAGATTATGAGTATTTGGCTTTAATCAATGATTCACTTAGATCTCTCTCCATAGAATCTAAGTATGCTTTCTTGTTCCTCTTATGTGTTTCCTAGAGAAATGTTAATTCATGTAAAGCTTTTACACTTAGCAAGGTTAGTACATCATTTCCTATTTCAATACAAGGGATAACATTGCTCTTACTAGATTCGACTTATATATGGACTATCTTTTGTTTCTCCTAGCTAAAATTTTGAATTTCTCATCAAAGATAATGATCCAAGCATAATATTCTTGTTAGAATCCATCAATGAACATTTCAAGCCTACATATTTTTCACAATCTATCTTGGTGTGAATATATGCGAAAAATATGTGTGTTATGCTTGTCATCTTTTGAAAAACTACAAACACTATATGGTTTTAACACCAAGTATTGGATCAATTTAGATCTCAGTAATAAATGGACAGAATCTCATTGCTTATAGCTTCCTCTAAGTTTGGCTTAATGGGCCTTCCATAGCTTCTGATAGCCGATAGACTCTGATTACAACTGGATATTGGTTTTTGACCCATGGAGTCAACACAGTTGGGGCATCCAACAAAGAAAAAAATATCTCACAAAGCATTTGATAGGAACTTTCTTACCTTGTACAAGAGCATTGACTCTTATAACACTTATTCATGGTACAATCCATGAAATGTTTGTAAGTATAATACGACTCATTAGTTACAAATCAGAAAATGATTTTTTTCTCTATCCACCTATATTGCTTATGACAATACTTTGGTTTGAGATGAGTTCTGAAACTGTTTAACAAGTCCATTAGATGATCGTTAACCTTTTGATAAAGGTTCTCACTATCCCATGGAATTTGAGTTCCTTATCTTTTGCCAATTATCTATAAACTTTGTTTTGTGATGAATCTAAATAGACAATTAGCATTAACTAGTTCCAACAAATGATAGCATCATGAAGTGATGTGTTCATCATTTATCTTGATACTATGAGATATGTAACAATCATAAGACTTTGGCCCGATGACTTCCAAAATTCTATCCAGTTGATTATTTCGTAATGTACTTCTCATTCATGTATTCAAGATGATGATCTAAACATTTTGTATGAACATGCATCATGGTTAATTTGAACGTCTAATTAGTATAAACTAATTTCAATAGATACTTTGCCACTAGGTTGTGTTAGTGTCATCATTATTGACACATAAGATTTTCATTTATCATAAGATTCAGGTGAATGATTTCCAAAATCCGATTCAACTGGATAGTTGGTAATGCAACTCTTATTTATAGGTCAAAGAAGATGATTCCATAATTGCATTTAATCCAACAATGAATCTTCATTGAACTATTGTTACTATACTAGTTTCAAAGATTTCATGACTTAATTTTAAGTAATAAAACATGCGAAATATTCTATATTTAAATATGCTAGAAAAATATTACAAAACATTGTATAAACAATTTTAATCGTAAGACCATTGACTAAACATTTAAGAGAAATAACCATCTTATAATCCTACGGATAGTAAAGGGACTTGATTCGATGTCCTTGATCATAATCACTTCTTTATGTTATAGTATAATACTTCCTTTTGGTCACTGCATATTGTTGAAAATGCCAATACTCATCCTTTAGCGAAACACTCAAGGATTTGAAGAAATATTCCAATAGTGTTATGGATTCATTATTCTGATTATAGGCTAAACACTTGGAATAACGAGTTGACTCTTGATCTTTAAAATTATTGTGGGGCCTCACTATCGATGATCAACCAACACTTCTTTAACTTTTGTGCTTTTCTTATTTGTTTCCCCTAGTAATCAATTTAGCCTATCAAAATATGTCTCAGAATACAGCTACCAATTGTCCTTTGCATTAGATTTTTTAGTTGGGTACACCAACTTAGAACACCTTTCTCTTATGGAAAATTTTCTTTTCTTATTCATGACACTTCTTTGATGATAGATAATCATAGGAGCATTTAAAGCTTTAAGTTCTATTCTTATCCATGTTTGTCCCAAAAGGTTCTCAACATGCTATGCAACTCCATAATGGATCTTTCCAAGTTTTTCATGCGTATTCAAAATCACCTGATCATAGCCAATTCCCAACGGGTGGAATTCCATGTTTCTTCAATCCTTTTAATGTACTAAACTCTTTGAAGCTTGGAGTCTCTTTGTTTTTCCATGTTAATTCTAATGGTCCTTAACATGCAATGTAGTTCCATAATGGATCTTTCCAAATAGCTCATATCAGAATCACCTAATAATATGCACTAGTTGGCTAATTGGTTATGTCATAATAGTCAGCTCCAAATGTGATGGAAATCCATATGCTTCAATTTGTATACTTAACATCTGCTATGATGGATCTTTCCAAGTTGTTCATATCAAGTCAGAATCAACTGATTATATGCACATGTTAGCTAGTTGGCTATGCTTCCATAATAACCTCCTAAACTTGGTAGAATTCAAAGTAGCATTAATGTTATTAATGTACTAAGTGTATTTGATACTTTCTCCTTCCTTCATCTAAACAATAACCGAAGGAACCTCAAGAGGATCTTCAATAAAGGTACAATCTTTCTTTTCGTTTAAGAGAGAGCTATTCTCAAACACGAATAAGATTAACCATGCCTACTAGTTTATCCTTCTAAAGGCTTTGTAGAAGTTAACTTTTAGTGTATACTTTTATGACATCATTCCTACTAGTTTATCAAATTATTTCAAATAAGGCTAGGATCCATATTTCACTCCATGATGTGAAGTGGATTAGCTAAAAATCACACCAAAAAGTGTAGCATCTCGTTTAAAATAGAATAATTAAATAATAAACCCGGAACCCCAAGATGTAATTTTTATTATTATTTTATATTATTGTAACCAAAATCAAATAACAATTAGTGGGGTTTTGGTTTCGGGGAGTCAAATGACAAGATTTGAATCTTGGGGGGGTTAAAGTGTAATTTCGGGATTGATTTTGTAAAGATTTTTAGATGTCGGGGGGTGTTTGGTATCATTTGGACTTAATATGAAAGAATTTATTGAAGCATGGGCTAAAGAGTAAATTTTGGACTTCAGATGAAATAATTTGTAGAGGGAGGGGTTGATTTGTAAATTTTCAGACTTGA